TTAAAAAGGGACGGTGTATCAAGGCATTGGGGAAATGGTGCCTTAGGCACATATGATGCCTTAGGCTCATGTGAAGTGCTAGGGATTAAGTCATCCGCCCTAGGTGTTTCCCCCTCACTCTTTTTCTCATTGGGTGTACTGCCGTGGTCACCCTTCTTAGCCCTAGTTGCATCAGATGCAACTAGCCGAGGCTCTAACTCCCTCCTACTTCTCAAGGTAATCACCGCTTGCACCTGTTCATGGTGCTTTTCATTCCCACCCAACCCCTCTGCCCCATATTGACCCTTAAGGTTGGCCACAGTCTGACTTGGTAATTTTCCCTCATCTCTCCTATTTATGTTATTAGCCATTCAACCTAATTGGGCCTCTATCTTGGCAATGGAGTTAGTATGGGAGTGAACTACTGGTGCTAACCCCTTAAGTTCTGAGAGAACTTCTAACACCTGTGTGATGATCTGTCCCTTTTCTCCTTTTCTTTCTCTTTCTTCGCTTCGTCTTCTTTTATCCTCGTTGGATTTGAAATGTCTAGAAATGGTTTCTAGTTCTTATTTCTTCCGGTGGCAAATTTCAGTCATTCCGGAGGGTGCGCAAGTGAGTCCGGGGCTCCCGGGGACGAAGTTGAAACTTGGGCTGCTGGGCCAGGGACGCACGTGCAGGGTTGGGCCGCATGAGCGGTGGAGGCTAGCACCCAGAAATTTGTATTCTGAAATCAACACACGAGCCGGAGAAATTAGGCCGCTCAAGCGGTAGAGGTGGGCTGCTCGAGCGGAGGGGGAGGCCACTCGAGCGGATGGGGAGGCCGCACGTGCGGAGCCTTGGCAGTCCGAAAACTCTATTTTTATATCTTTTGGACCCGAATGTATCTCACATTTTTGCTCATCTCTCTCTCACTCTAAACATATTTTTCTCACTCTTCTCTCTAGAAAACCCCTTCAATCATCTAACACACTTAGATCCTTTTAAATCTTGGGTCAAGATCTCCATTATCTACCTCTAAATCTTAAAGATCTAGGTTGGGGCTTCACTTGGGTGGAAGAAATCAAAGCTCTCTCTCATCTTTCAAAGCTAGGGCTTCATCTCACCTTTCATCAACAAGCTTGAGGTAGGGATTTCTTGAGTTATATATACTAGTTGTGCTATTTGGGTGTTGATTTAAAAGCGCTCTTGAAGTTTTGTGTTGATTATAGATTTTATTCAAAATGTAGAGATTTTTGAATGTGGGTTTGTATCACAACTATTTTACAACTTCTTGAGAGTTTTTCCCTCTATTAAACTTGTGAAAGATGATTTTGATGGGGTTTTTCTTAAGGGATGAGAAAAACTTGTTTTTAAAAGAAAACCCTAGAAATTTGGGGGTTTTGTTAAAATGGAAAAATGTCTTTGAAATTCTATATTTTCTCATGTTAAAAGGATGAATGAGAGTGAGTTTCATCAATGTTTTACAAAATGGAAAATTTACTTGATATATGAGAATGAGGTGTTAAATTAATATTTTGCTAATACTTGAATAAGCAAGGTTGTGGTGTGACTAATTGTTCAAAACCATAGATGGTGGAAAAATTGTAAACATTGGGGGTTTTATTTGAAATATGTCACTTGTAGTATTGAAGAGACTAATTTGTTATGGTATGTTAAACGAGAATTGTGATGATGTGTTGATGACACATGTTAATCTTGTGGATGAACATTGAAAAGAGAATATGAGAATGTGAATGTTGACATTGTTGTAGAGATATGCAAAAATGGAGAAATGTTATGAGGTATGGAAAGGATTATTGCATTGCATATTACATTATTTATCATTGTGCATCTTGAATCCAAATTGAAGAGATTTACATCATGAAGAAGAAAATGTTATTGTAATGAGAACTAATGGAAATGTTGATGGGGTAAATACGGTGGTAAGTCCAGATAGGGGGTGTAGATGATTTGATAAGTTGGCCTGAGTGTCTATGGTGAAAGACCCGCGTGGATAGGCGTCGAGCCTTCCGGTTAATACCGGTAAAAATGACATTTTGGTAGAACTTGTATAGTCTACTTGTAGACGCCAGCGGATTACCAATGTCGTATTTACCGCCCCTCTTGAGTAAATTGGAATTGGAATTAATGAGATTTGAAAATGTTGTTGAAAGCATGATGATTTTTATTTAAAGCAGGGCACATGATTATCTTCTTTTGAAAATGGCATAGCATGGCATCGCATGGCATTAAATGTTGGGCCTCTTACATAGTTTATATTGGAAGTTGGTAATCTTTTAAAAGAGCATGAAATGGAATTTTTCTTTAATAAGTGCATAGCTTGGCATTGATGTTTGCATGTTCATTGAAGTGTTTGCATAACTGTATATACTTTGTGAGAAATCTCTACTGGGCTTTGTGTTCACCCCTACAGGTTTTGGTGCAGGTAAAGACATAGTGATTCCGCCGAATTGAAGGCGTGGATAAGTTTTGTGAATACTCTCTATTTTGTTGTGAAGTTTTGTAAAGCCAAGGGCTATTTATGTATGGGTTCGAGAGGCCACTTTTGTGTAACCGGGCTTAAGCCTTGGAAGTTATAGCCCGTAAGGGCATTTTATTTATTTTGGAACTACATGCTTCACATGTTATAGATTCTTGTGTTTTCTTACTTATGAATATATAAATTACATGTGGGACGTTTGTATGAACCATGGAGATTAATGACGAAAGGATCGGAGAATAGTTATATCTAATTAGTAAAGGTGGCTTGGCGTAGTATATTGTGGGGTAATTTTCGGGGTGTGACAACCTGAGTCTCAAAGGCCAAGTTGCCATCAGGAACAGGCGGGGGTTGTGGTTGGCGATAAGGTTGCGGTGGTCAGTAAGAAGATTGGCTAGCAAAATTATTAAAATTCTGCCTTAATGGTGGAGGGTTGTAAGATGTGCCTTGTGAATGAGGTCTCCATGAAAAATTAGGGTGGTTCCTCCATCCTGAATTGTATGTGTTGGAATATACCCGGGTTGGGGAAACCTTAAGCCACATTCATATGCTCTTCGACTAATTTTGGGAATTGTGATGCCGAAAGGCACTCACTCAAGTCATGAGCAGGGCTCACAGATATAAAATATGCCTCGTGAAATTGAGGTTGATCTTGCTATATAGGGGCATGTCCCGTAGTTAATAATTGGTCTATTTTTTTGGACAATGCCTCTACTTGTTGGGCTAACTCTAGGTTTTGCCCTACCCCATAAATGCCCTCTCTTTTCAGGGCTTCAACTATCGGTTTCCGATCTTGCTGGGCTACGGAGGCATGGTGAATGGAATTATGACTTAATTTCTCAAATAATTGCCAAGCCTCGGCGTCATTTTTGGACATGAATGTCCCACCACAAGAAGAATCCACCATTTGGCAGTGAGGTTCAGTTAAGCCATAGTAAAAGGTCTGCACAAGTTCCCAATCAGGCACTTGGTGGTGGGGACACTGTTGGAAAAAGTCACGAAGTCTCTCCCATGTCTCATGAAATTACTCACCATCAATTTGAGCAAAATTGGTGATGGCTCGCCTAAGTTGGTTGGTCTTACCAATGGGAAAGTACTTCTCCAAAAACCTCTGGTGTAATTGGTCCCAAGTTGTGATTGAATTAGCAGGTAAGGAGTTCAACTAGTGTTTGGCTTTGTCCTTTAATGAAAAATGGAAACAAACGCAACATTAGGGCCTTATTGGTGAAATTTTGGATCCTCACTGTTGAGCGAATTTCTAGAAATTCATTCAGATGTTTGTTAGGGTCATCATGAGCTAGTCTATGGAATGATGGAAGCATTTGGGTGGTGCTGGACTTAATCTCATAATGAGTAGCAGTGTTGTCGGGTAACTAGATACATGATGGTGATGTATATGCAGTGGGTGTAAAGTAATCTCTAAGGGTCCGATTGGGCCCATTTAGGCCATTCGAGTTTTCCATCTCTACTGGTTTGAAGAATGGATAAGGGTATTCAAGCCTAGGAACACAGGAAGATGCTCTAAATTTCCTAAGAGTCCTTTCTAGTTTAAGGTCCAAATTCAATAATTCAAGGTGACAAGAACGGCGCCCGTGCATACACTACTCACATACACACTCACTAAGTTCCGACTCTGTACACTAAGTTATGAAAGCAAAATATCAAAGGGAGAAATACTCACAATGATTTAACGAAAATGCTTTGCTCGTCTCATGGGTGCTCGACGTGTAAACGTTATCCCAATTTCCACTTGAGCTCGCTAGTTTTAGCACTTTGGTGCTTTGCTTGTGAATATTTGTTTTTGTTTTTGTAAGCACTTTGGTGCTACGATTTGTTTTTAAAGCTCGGTTGCGCTCTGCTTGCACTTCGGTGATAGCTCCACTGGCAAACACTCTGTTCACTTAGCAACACAAAAATATAAAATCCTAAACTAAAAATTAAAATAGGAATGTAGCTTTAAATTAACTAATTTCACCAGAAGTCCCCGATAACGGCGCCAAAATTTGGTGAGTTGTTTCACACACCAAATATAAACACTAAACTATACTAAATTCTTTTAGAGTAATGGTACGTCTAGGTATCGATTCACATGGACAATTGTGAAATTAAACTAATTTAATTGCTAAATTCCTAAATTAATTTTGATAGAAAGATTGAGGGATTCATAAACTAATAAGAATTAATTTAAATAACGTGATTAAATTAGCAATTATAATTAAAATTGGAATTATTGATTTTTGGGAAAAACCTAGGGTAAAGAATTCACCACTAACCACATAAATGAGATTCAACATCGATTATCAATTGCAATCCGGTTTGAAATACCCAATATTTCACAACTACAAGTTTCAAGTATTGATCAAGAGGGTTGTTGCATTCAACGTACAGGCACAAATCATTCCAAGTAGCACGAGTCGTTTGCTCTAAACTATGGTAGTATCACAACCCATCTCTCGTAGCATGAATTGTCTCGTACTTTGAACACAAACACAAAGAAAACTAATGTATGAAAAGCATTAAACAATCACAGAGAGTAAAATACTTGAAGAGATGAAAAGAACAATTATTATAAACTTCTAAATCATCCATACATTTATTTAAACCGTTTTACAATCAAAGCTTAAGAAAAATCCTTTTACATGGCTAGGGTTTCATCAAAACCCTAGAAAAGAAGAGCTTAGCCACTCATGGAGGAGTGGGAAGAGGTGGAAGAGATGGAATTCTCCATGGGTATTTGCTTTGAAGATTGAGAATTACCTTTTTCCAAACCTTAGCCTCCTTTTTCTCCTTCTAAATTTCAGAACCCTATTCTAGCCTATTTTCTGTCTTTTTATACCTCTAGCCTCTTCCAACAGATTCAAAATAGCAGGCTTGTGTCCCGAGGTGCGGCTGCAAGTGTGGGAGTGGTCACCGCACGTGCGGGAAGGGGTGTCGCACATGCGGGAAAAATAATCCGCACGTACGAGAAGCTAAGGCTCTGTTTGGCTGCGAGGTAAAGGCTGCACGAGCAGGAAAGAATTTTCTGCTCATTTTATGCTCCTACTATGTACAAACCTCATTGACATTAAACTGGCATAAAATGTATAGTTTATCAAGCAAGTAAAGTTAAAAGATCCTAATTAACGGCCTCAATGTTGCACAATTCGGCCTTAATCAATCGACATAATCATAACAGAGATTTCTGAACAATCAAGCATGTGTTCATGGGTATCACATTCGATAATCAAAAAGGGAATCTCATTCATTCTTATTAAAATCTCATTTCTAGGAACATATATCGTATTGTTCACAATTCAAAGTTTCAAAGCATAACTTACAGGTTCTAACATTCTTAATCAAACACTTATCGTATCAAGCATGACATAACATAACATAACATAGGTTTTACAAATTAATGAGCCATTTTACAGTAATTCATATATGAATATATCTTTACAAAGAGATTACTCACTGTGTTCGTCCAGATGATACTCCTCGTGCAAACGACCTACACAACACATTCACTTATAACATTTCATAATGCATTCACGTCATTCAGTCGGTTCTTATACCCATTCGGTTCATAACCTATCCGTACCTGTAGACACCCCATTTTTGACTGACCTTAAGACTCAGACGTCACCAGTTGAGCGCTCGGTGATATTGCATATCGTGTTCGTTCAGAAGTTTCAGAGTCTTGGCTACAAGCCTTGCCTCCGAACTTCCGGACTCTTTCGTGCCTCGCCTTGGTTTGCGAACCAGGCTCCGTTTTCTCTGTTTTCTCTTCCCGAAGGGAGGGAGAGGTCTTGTAGATCATCTCTCAGTGGCCATAGGCTACGTTTCGTGGTCGTAGGCCATTTTTCCCATTTGGAGCCCGGTTTTCAGTTTTTCGGAGCCGACGGCCGTGTGCCTCGGTTCGGGACCGCCTAACCACCTCTGTTTGCTCCGGTTTTTGGTATACACCTTATTTCCTCCCTTTTGAGGAACACTGTGGCCCGAGAGACCAACTTCGTGGTCGAATGCCACCTCCGGTGCTTAACAGCCCATTTTCGGGGCCCCGGGCCGAGCGTGTCGGTCCCCGAACCTCCGTTTTGCATCCGTTTGGGTTCATTTTTGGTGGAGGCCTTATTTTCATTCTTAGGAAGCTTGTAGAAGGGTGGGAGGCCAGCAATTGTTCTGAAAAGCCAGTTTTATTTCTTCATCGCTCTCCGTCGCCCGTTTTCCTCACTTGAAAGCTAATGTTGACCCCCTTAGGGCCACTTTCTTTAGCCCTAAACCCCATATTTGTGTTGTACACACCTGGGAGGCCACCAATATGTATAGGCCAGCCAGTAATTGTCATTGACCCTTTTGAACCCCTCTAAAAAGTTGGCTTTTCTCTCTCCTAGTTCACATTTTCTGGATTTTGACCACATAGTTATGTTGTGCACACATGGGAGGCCACCTTTTTGAGGTGGCCGGCCAGCAATCTTCATTGACCCTTTTGACTCTTGGCCGGCCGGCCATGGGGGGTGGCCAGCCGGCCACCTGAACCTTTTTTACCTGGCCGACCATTTTTCTCTCTCCTGGTACATTACAGTTGTGCCAGCTGTTTTGCACAAAACCCCTGCCCGAGGGTTTACCCTTTTGGGGGGGAAATTTGAATTCATTTCCCCCCTTCTTTTCCTCCACTCCTCCCTCTATAAAACCAGACCCCACAGCTCCATTTTTGAGGGTTACAAATTCTTGTTTGGAGCCTTGCTTACATCTCTCCCTCTCCCTCTCCCTCTCTTCCAAGCCTCAAAACCCTAAAAGCCTTGCACCATTTACACACCAACCCATAGCTCCACACATCCACACTCCATTCCAGCCTTTTAAAGCTGATTTCCAGAGGCTAGGAGCTCCTCTTCTTGGTCCAAGGGCTGCTGGTTCATTGCTCTTCAAGGGTAAGCACACTTTTCCCATAAACTAGTTTTTTCTTGCTTCATTTATAAGCTTTGCTTGAAAGTTTTTTTGGGCTCCAACATGAACTGTAAATAGTCATATTTTGTGCTCATCTCCATGTTTGATTAAGGGTCTTTCTCTGTTTGAGGTCTCCTCCTCACCCTTTGTGTTTAAACTCTCTTTTAGGCCTATTTTTGCATGATATTTTAGGCTTATTTGTGAGCTGTTTCGGACTTGGTCATAAACTGTGAAATGTCTTGTTTTGAGCCCCTCTTCAATTTTGTTGAAGGGCTCTCCTCTATTTTAGGCCAGAAGCTATCACTTGTCTCTTTATCCCTCTTTTAGGCCTTTTTCTTGCATGATATTTTAGGCCTACTTGTGTTTTTTTTCGAAGCTTGACATAAACTGTAAAGTGCCTTGTTTTGAGCCTCTCTTCAACTTTGTTGAAGGGCTCTTTACTTTTTGAGGCCAGCTAATGTCCCTTGTCTCTATTCTCTCTTTTAGGGCCATTTTTGCATGATAGATTAGCCCTACTTGTGTTTGTTTTTGAGAGTTGTTATAAACTGAAAAATATCTTGTTTTAATCTCATCTTCAAGTTTGTTTAAGGTTAAATTTTTTTTGAGGTCATATGCTTCCTTGTATGCTTGATTGTCTCCTATTTTGAGCCCTACACCTAAGCCCTTGTTGCATGCTTTGTTTGGGCTTCTAGCCACTGAAATCCAATGGATTTTCAATGGCTAAGACACTTTTTGAGCTTCCAAATCAGAGGGGGGTGACCCCCTCTCACCTTGACTTGTTTGGCGGTCATTTTGGCCTTCCGAAGAGACCCTATTTTGCATGCTTTGGAGTCACTTTCCAGGGTCAATTTGGTGAGTTTTGGGACTACCATATTTGATTTTCATAGTTTTTTATGCCATGCCAAATGTCTATCTTGCATGTGCTTAATGACTCCTTGCATGGCCCTCTAAAGTAACTCATCATTTTTGCATGCCATGGTTGCATATAAGTGGTTATTTAGGCCTATTTTCACATGTTTTATTCACTGATTTTTTCTGGTTTGGTGATATTCCACATGCATCCTATACTTTCCGTGTAAACCATGTTTGCTAGTCAAAATTGCATGCTATTTTAGTCCATCTTGCTAGCATCTTTTGGCCATACTTTGAACTGAAAATGTCCATGTTTTAGGACTGCCTTGGCTCTGTCTTCATGTTTCATGATCAAATAATGCGTGCTTAGTATAGCTACAAGTCATTCCATGTGCCTAGTTTTGAGTTTCGGGGTTCATCTCATGCATCAGGTGCCATATTTCCATAATTCGGGACCATTTTGCATCATATTTCAGTGCTGGAATCTACATGCTTGTATGCCATATTCCATGCCTTGCCATGCCTTGGGTAGAGTGGCATTCGTGCCTTAGGATCGGTCCTCGATTTACGTGCATGTGTGCACGCATTTCGAGTGTCTCATTTCATTTCATAGCATTGCGTATGCTAGGTTGTATGTTAGAGCATTGTGTATGCCTTGTTACATCGTGCATTGTGTATGCCATCTCATAGCATTGTGCATGCTAGGTTGTATATTAGTTGCATTCATGCATGTCATGCATATTGCATTGTGCTTGGGATAGGAGTTAGCCCGAGCACGGGAAACGAGGTACGTTTCGTACTCCGAGTGACGGAACGTGTCACAATTCCCAGTCACCGACACTCCGGATTATCCATGATGAAGTTA